ACTCGGGCGCCCAAGATCTGCGCTGGGACTCCCTTGCGGCGCTTCCGGCGCCCCCGCTCCGCAATCCCCGTCCTGCGGCCGCGGGTGATCCAACGAACGCAAGAGGATGAGTAGAAGATCGGTTCCCGCGAGGCGGCAACATAAAATGCCAGGGGGGCAGACGATTAAAAACAAGTTTCTAGCGCCTGAGTTCTATTAGTCTGCCCAACTCATTCATGTTGGGCCCCCCGGGACGGGGGGGGGGTTCTGAATCGTTTGCCCCCTTACCTCCTTCCGCTTTCCCTCACCCGCCGTTCCTCTCTCTTATGGCCTCCCTTCTCTCCCCTCACAAATTCATGCTCCCATTATCATCCCTCCCCTTTCAGATTGCTCCCTTTTTTATCCTGTATCTCCGTCTGCACGTTGTGCTCGTCCTCCTTCCTCCTCCTTCCTCCCCCCTCCCCCTCCTCCACCTTTGTTCCTCCCATTTCAAGTTCAACTTGCCCGCCCTCGCCCCTCGTCCTTCTTCTGTTTGGAGCGCAGCTCTTGAAAGGACTTTGGTCGAGACGGCGCACACCCTGCCACTCTACGGGGTTGGCTGCAAGTTCTGGCGCGCGAAGACAGAGGAAGACGGTGATGATGGTGTTGCTGCTGGTGCTGATGAGGATAACGATGACGATGATGATGTCGATGGCATGCTGATATTGATGATGAAGGCGGTACTGTGGATGGCAATGATGTTGATGATGATGATGCTGCTGATGATGATGACGATGCTGATGATGCTGATGATGATGCTGATACTGATGATGATGATGATGATGATGGTGGTGGTGGTGATGATGTTGTTGATGATGATGATGATGATGATGATGGTGGTGGTGATGATGGTGATGATGCCGACGATGCTGAAGATGATGCTGATGACCCAGACGAACACGATGTTGATGATGCTGATAATGATGATGATGATGACTATGATGATTTGATGCTGATGACGATACTGATTATGATGGCACTGCTGATGATGGTGATGGTGGTGTTGATGATGATGCTGATTACGATGATGGTGGTGGTGATGATGCTGCTGATGATATTGCTGATGGTGAAGATGATGGTGATGCTGATGATGTTGACGACGGTGATGCTGATTCGGTTGTTGATGACCTTGATGGTGCTGATGACGATGCGGCTGCTGGCGATGATAATGAGGATGCTGATGATGACGTTGATGATGCCGATGCTGCCGATGCTGATGATGCTGACCCTGATGATGTCGATGATGCTGCTGATGTCGATGATGCTGCTGATGATGATGATGATGATGATGATGATGGTGATGATGATGATGATGCTCAAGGCGATGCTTATGAGAATAACATTGGTACAGCTACCGATGCTGATCATGAGGATCATGCTGAGGATGCTGCTGATGATGATGGTGGTGGTGGTGGAGGTGGTGATGATGATGCTGCTGATGATGCTGATGATGATGTTGATGATGATGATGATGATGATGATGACGACCATGATGATGATGATGATGATGATGATGATGATGATGATGATGATGATGATGATGATGATGATGATTTTTTTCCATCCATCGACCTTGGGGAAAACAAAACCACGCAGTGCTGTCTGGAACGTGACAGTGCGTCGGGTAGAAAATAGTAAAGTTTCCAGTCGCAGGGCGTGTGGCCCTATACTCGCCCAGGCTGGGCGCGCCGTGCAGGGGGCTCAACGAGCGGCAAACCTGCGTGCACTCTAGCATCCTGATCAGGGCAACCGCTTTTTAGCTAAAGTTGCCTAACTCTCTAGCGGCGTCTTCGTCGGCGGCGTAGTCGTCGACAGGCTCGGGTGGCTCAAGAGGGCTCAAGAACAAGGTTCCAGCGCAGACTCCGTGACATCCTTTTTCCTGTGGCTGTACAGGGTGGGCCGCGAAAGGGCGAGAGGAGGAGCTGGCTGGGGCTTGGCAGGCGCGGCTGACACGGCGTAGGGCGAACGGGAACTTGGGATGTCCGCGCACGCTGCTGCCATCATAGACCGTACATTCGTGACTAGAGGCTGGGAGGGAGGAGCTGCTGCGCTGGAAGACGATTGGCCTAGGGCTCAGCCCCCCTTGCTCGCCAGCGTGTCCACCCACGTGCCCAGTTCTTCTTCGAGCCAGCCAGGAGGTGCGACTCCCGTCATCACGCGGGCTACTCCCTCTGCTCTGAAAGCCTGCAAGATGGTGGATCTCATCTGCCACTGATTCATCGATATTTGAAGTTTGATGTGTTCTTTGTCGTGACAGGCCTCCAGACGGAGGAAGGCGATCGCGTCCTCGAGGTCGCTCTTGGTGGTCGTGGCCTGCTCGTCGTTCTGGGGCTGGACGCTGTTGAGGAAGTCGGTGAGGGACGTCTTCATGGCTCCGCCGATGTCGCACTGCGCTAGGCTCTCTATCATGGCGACTGCGAGCCCCGCGGTGGGGGAGCCGATGGTGTGCAACTTCTTCTTGGTCTCGGCGTCGCCCTTCCTCAGCGTGTCCAGCTCGTTCTTGTAGAGGTCCAGCTCGTCCCCGATCGCGATCACCACCCTGTGGGTGATGGGAGCTGGATGGTGTCCATGCTGCTCGCCATGGTCGCTCGTGTGCGCTGCGTCGTCTGCAACAGCAGCTTCGCCATCACCATGAGCAGCTCGAGCAGGTTGCCGTCCTTGCTGGACCACTTCTTGTCGCTGTGGGCCCCGCGACGGCGGCGTCCTCCTCGGCGTCGGCGTCGAGGTCCTTGCCCCTCGGCTGCTGCCGCGCCCGTGCCCTCGTCCACTGTCATGCCCCCTCCCGCGGCCGCTGCTCCCTCGTCCCCTGTCCGCTGGCGCACTGCTCGCGGCTGCTCTGCTTGCCTGCTTCCTGTTCCACCATTCCCAGACGGAGCCGAGGATCGCGGCAGGCGCCACGACGCTCGTGGTTTCTGGTCCGCCATCGCTGCTAGGCGGGGCTGTAGAGGTGGCTCGTCCAGGATGGCGCCGTGCAATCGGCGCTGCTGTGGTGGGTGTAGCTGTCAAGATTCGTGTAGCCGATGGCGTGGCCGGGGCGGTCGAGGCTGCCGCGGACGGGGTCGGGTGAGCAGGTCTTCTGGCGGGCCGCGGCGTCGGATGCGCTGGCGGCGGTGGCGGTGCACTCGTCAGTAGCCTCAGCGAGGCCGCCTGGAGCTTGTGCCTGTTGCTGGTGGTGTCCTCGGCAACCCACTTGCTGGCGCCGCCTCCGCTCGGCGCCGCGCTCGACGCCTCAGGGGGCGCGCCAGGCGCACTCGCTGGAGCGCGCGGGCGAGGCGAGGGGAGGCTGGCACGAGACCAGAGCCCAAATGGTGACGGTGGGATGTGCGAAAGTACGTGCTCTCGAAGATCGACGGGATCGTTAAACTCATGCTGGCAACATGCCGAGGACGATTGTGCAGATAATGGGCATGAGCGCACTCGGGTAGGCTGCCATTTGTATTCGTGCCGTGTTTGTTCGGGAATACAACGACCTTGGAGCCAGGAACGACGATGGTGCCTGATGGTGTGCTCCGTGTTTTTGAAGATCGTGTCGCAGACTAAGCATTTGTTGTCCAGTGTGATAGTAGATATGATAGTAGGGCAGCCGTGACCAGGTGCCTGTGTGTGTACCTGATGTGCGATAAGGCCGTGCATCGTGGGGAACTTCTTGGGGCAGCCCTCGAGGCCGCACACGAACATAAGCTCATCCTCGTCCGAGTCATCGCTAAGGAGGGTCATGTCATGCATGTGCTCGGCCACTGGTGTGCCACTGGGGGGTGCCCACTCTTGTGCCAGATACGTAGCCCGAAAGACGGTCATGTCGCACATGCGGAACCGCTCGTTCGCAGCTGAGTCCTCGAAGAGGGATCGTACAATCGGTGGGGACCAAACTTCTAGGAGATCTTCGCCAACAGGGTGAGAGAGAACACATTGCATGTCTGACGCGAACTGCCTGGCCCACGGGTGTACATTCTCGGCCGTGTTCACGCAGCCGTCGGAGGAGAGTGGCGAGGGAGGCGCCTGGTCGCCCAGGCGTATCTCAAACAAGCACTGCCCGAATACTGCTGCTAGGAACTGGGAGTGGTGCTCTGGCTCTGCCGCGATGCTCTGCCACCAGCCCAGGCGACGGATCAGCAGCTCCAGCGCCGTGGGAGGGACGGACCACTGTTCAAGCACCTGCCGCGTGGTGAAGGAATGGTGGCGTCCTGCCGAGTCGACCGAATGGGCCTGCCCACGGAGCATGGCTCGCAACTTTTTGGCAATGCTGCGATCGAGTCGTTTTGTTTCACTGGGGCGAAGGACGTGCGATTCGAGGCCGCTCCAGATGCGTCCCGCCACGTTGGCTAAGAACGTCATTCGTTTCGCACGGTAGGGCCCCGATGAGAACCAATATTGCCCCAGCGAGCTCCAGCCGATGTTGCCAGCCTTGACCCTCTCAGTGATCTCCTTAGTGCTGGAGCCGTTCACGTTTATGTAGCCACCTAGATGAATGAGGTCCGTGACGGGGCGCCCGCTGAGTTGTCTTTCAGCTGATCGAGTAGCTTGGGGGGCCCGCAGACGTACTAGCGTGTCTTGTTTGCTAATGTTCTGGACGAAGCCCCCTAGCTCGAGCTCCCTGTTAAGAACCGTGTTGTCGACGCAATCTAGCAGCAAGGCGTTCTCTGTGCTACCCTCGGGGGCGATAAAAACCTGGATCAGATCGTCTATGAACCCCCCCATGCCCACATCCTGCTCCTGGTCGGTGATCGGGCACTGGACACGGAAGAGAGGGCCAGTGATGGTCGACATCTCGCTTCGCCATCGGACGATCGGCTTATAGAACGCTTGCATGAAAAGCTCGGGCTCGTTCGAGTCACCCATGCGGCCCCCCGACGTGGGGTGGACATGCGCGGTGCTGTCGGCGGCGTCGATTCGAATAATCGCTTGGGCTCGGTAATGTTCAAGAACTCTTCGGAAATGGATAGTGGGCTGGCGCTCTTCCTGGGCCTGCACTAGTCCGAGAACGTGGCCAGTGCCGAAGGCGTTCCTCATGTCGTATGATTTCAACATAAAACCGAGCTTGCAGTGGAGACACTTCCAAATCAAAATCTTTATAGTCATCATCAGTGCCTCCCGTCGGCGACTGCGAATGCCGCCGTAGGCCCAGTCGGGGGGGTCGAACTCGGAGCCGTAGACGACTAAACCTACTCTGAGATAAGACCGCCAGAAGGGACAGAAAACGTGGATCATTCTGAGAACCTCGTTGATGTCGTCTACTGCGTTGCCAGTGGAGGCTTTGTTCTTTTTGGGTATCATGATGCCGTGGCTAGTGTACGCATGTTGTGGAAGACGATATGTCGCACGTACGTGTGATAGTACAGCATGTAGCGCATCACGGCCCGCACTAGATACAGCTAGACTAAGTCCCTGGAGTTTACGTTGATCAGGACGCCGAGGGGGATCATCTCCATCCCAACCCAACCCATGTATGATGTACTGTCCGTCCTCACACCCGATACCTGTAGTAGGAAGGCCTGGTTTGGTGAGAGTGTGCGGGCGCAATATCATCTGGGTGATCTCCTGCGGCCAGGACCAGGGAGGAGAGTAGCGACGATGTCGCTGCAGGCCGAGACGCTCCTCAATGAAGCGTAGGTCGTCGTGTGCCTGCACCTCGTCCTCAGGCATTGGGTCCGAGCACTCGGTTCCTAGCGGGTAGATCTGGTCGAGGGGGCGGGCGAGGAGGGAGGTAGTCGCATCGTCGTACATGTACATGCTAGCGTGTGCTGGCTCTGCTGCTAATCCTCCTTCTCCTCCTGCTCGTGCGAGTGCTGCGTGGAAATGTTCTGCCAAAGGTCGCGCTGACGGTAGTGCCAAATATGAGCGTTTCCGAACTCCTGTGCGGGTACCCGCTCGGACACGAGCAAGCCGGGCAACTCGAGCGGTATCTCGTTTCGACCATGCATCTCTTAGTTCCTGTTCGACTGAGTGATGATGATGATGGTGGTGGTGGTGGTGATGATGATGAGGAGGAGGAGGAGGAGGAGGAGAAGAAGGAAGCGGCTGAGGAGGTTGGCGTGGAGAGCGGCAGCAGGTTCAGGAGCAGGAGTAGCAGCAACAAGTGGGGGGGCAAGAGGAGCAGGAGGAGGACGACGCGAAGGAGACAGTCCCGGGGAGGACGGGGAGGGTGACCCAGGACTGCGCGGAAACGAAGGGGCAGTACTTCGTCGCGGACTCCGCGGAATACAGGCTCAGGCCGATACGGGGCATGCTGCGAGGGACGCAGTACTACTTCGGCAGCCCTGGGCGAAGCACCCCCCCAGGGGCCCTTGCCGTTCTCCCCTTCCCGTCCCCCCTCCCGCTCGTCCCCTTCCGTCTTCCGCCTCCTCATCCTCCTCCACCTCTTCCTCCTCTTCCTCTTCCTCCTTTTTCTTCTCCACCTCTTGCACCTCCTCCACCACAGAAGTTGGAGGGGGAGGGGGTCCTCCTCCTCCTCCTCCTCCTCCTCCTCCTCCTCCTCCTCCTCCTCCTCATGTTAGATTTCGCCATCCCTGGGGGGCTGCGCTGCCGCGGGCACGCGTGGGCTGCGCTGCCGCCTCGGCTGCCGCCCGGAAAAGTCGATTCCTTCCGTGGCCAGGGTGCCCAAGCCCGCAGCAGCGAGGCCCCAGAGTCGCCAGCGGACGATGGCGTACTTGCGGCAGGGGGGCGCCGAGAGGACGCACGCGGCCCCGCCAGTCTCGGTCCAAGGGCCTTCGCCCTCCTCCTCCCCCTCCCCCTCCCCCTCCCCCTGCCCCCCCCTCCGCCTCCTCCATGTCCGCTATCTCCTACAAGGACGAGTTCCGCTGAGCAAAACTCGCCCACCTGCTCCGCAGGAAACTACCCTTGGCAGGCCAGGCCAGGCACAACGGGACCTAGGGGAACAAAACCCAGGCCGGCCACGATGCCAAGTTCAAACAAAACGCCTCCGCCAAGCGCCCGGCACCCTCCCCGCGGGGGCCGCGGGGCAGCGAGTTGATAGCGACGAGTCGGATAAGCCGTCGCATCTCGCGCAGGAACGACATGTAAGCGCTTACGTGCTGTTTCCTGGGGGGAAAGTTCAAACGGGCCCCGTGCGGGCTAGGGCGAGGGGAAAAGGCAGCCCCCAGAACTTGCCAGACTGGGGTTCCTTGCCCGCTTTAAGCTTGTTCAAAGCCACGCGAGCCAGTCGAGCCGCTCTCCGAGCCTTGAGCGACAAGGGAGCGCACGGCTGGGCAAGGAGCAGAGCCTGACGACGGCCATACGCGCCGCACGCGCGGCAGAAAATAATCGTCTCCGTCCCACCACCCCCATCGGCCCCCGAAACATTCCCCGCCCCACCACCCCGAAACGCCACAGCGTATTGGAGAGGTGGGGCGTGGCCGCTATCCTGGGGACCCTGGGCACGGGTGTGAGACCACACGGGACCTGAGGGCCCTCCACACACCGCATTTCTCGCACCCCCAACACCTCCCGAGACGAACGATGGAGCGGCCCCTCCGCGAACTCTCTAACATCAGACCGTCCCTGGGGGTGGGGCGCGGGCGGGGCAGGGGATTTCGGTCAAGACAGCCTAGACGAGCGTGCCTATTTAGCACCTCGCCGTGATGGCGCAGGAGCAGGGCGGCGGCAGCCTTGGACGCCCCCCACCTCCGCTCCAGCTGCGGGTGGAGCCTCGCGCCGAGCTCCTCCTCCTCCTCCTTTTCCTCCTCCGCCTCCTCCTTCTCCTCCTCCTCCTCCGCCTCCTCCTCCTCCCCGCAGCGTGAAGTGGTCCGCGCTCAACTTGTCCATGTGCCAGAATACGCCCATTCACAGGTCAGCATACTTGTGTCGCTGCCCACCACAAAACTCGCGGCCCCGACGGTAAGCCTCGCGCGCCGCCTGACAGTCCGAGAGCACCTCGAAGGCCTCGTGACTCTTCTCTTCCAGGGTCTTCAGCAATGCGAACACAGCTTTGCGTAGCCAAACTCCTGGATCCAGCCTGGGACGTCGCCACATATGCCCCCCAGGATCTCGCTTCGACGGGAGACCACGGTAGACGACCAGCCCGCGCGGGATAATTCTCTGCATTCAGGGATGGTCGCAGAGCCGTCGATGCAGACCACGCCTCGGGAGAGCTCCCTGAGGGCGAGACCAGCTCGCAGGACCGTGCCAGTTGAACTCGGCGGTGGGGCCTGATCGAACTTGAGATGCACCAGGCCCCTCAGCACGCCCAGGTCGTCGGGCGCCGCCTCGCGCCCAGCCAAAACAACCCCCGAGCTCCTCCGCCCAGGTCCTGGACGCTGGGCTCATGAACAGCCCGTGGTGCGTCGTCCCCAAAGCCATCTTGAACCGCTGACCATTGGGGTCGGTCTCGGAGCGCTCCACGCGCAGGTCGCACTGGGACACCAACGCTCCAGCGATGAGGGCCTCCAGAAGCTACACCATCTCAGTGTGCCCCTGTTCTCGAAGGCCCGCCGGCGTGAACCTGATCGGGCCCAGGCCAGGCGGGCGACCCCCAAGCGCCTCGAAGCCAGGGTGGAAGGAGACTTCGCGCATCAGACGCCTATCGGCTCCTTCTACAACTATGTCGATGAGCATCCGCGGGTTGAGGACCTGAAGGTCCAGCACCGCGCCGCGGTCATCGCGCCAGACGTGCTGGCGCTCAGCCGCCCAGCCCATCCGCCCGAGCGTCAGCTTGACCGCCGCGGCGGGCCCCGCGACAGCGGCCCGCGACTCAACCAGCGCCGCGAACGCCATCTTGAAGACGGCGTCGGGCCTGAAGTTCCCGAACACCGCGGTCGCCGAGGCCTGCAGCGGCAGCGCGACTTCCTGCCCGCCTCTCCCGCCAGAGCTTTGCCGCTCAGGGCGCGGGCCCTGGCGAGCTGCTGGCTGGGGGCCCCGCGGACGCGAGCCCCGTGCAGAATAGAATCCAGGCCAGTAGCGCGAAAATCACCACCCGGCCGAGCCCCCGCCTTGCGCGGGGCCATGTGCTTGGCAGCCTTCGCCGCGAGGCGAGAGAGGCGTCCGCGCAGGACCTTCCAGGGCGCCTTTTTGTCCATCGCATAATGCGGGTCGAGGTTGCAGGCCTCCCCGGCGCACCTGGAGCCCCCGCTCCGCGAGCCGGCTGGCCATGCGCATCCCCGCGGGCAGCTCGCTAGCGAGGGCCTCGCCATTAGTGGCAGACACATTTGAGCTCATTTCCCCCAACAGGCCGCGGAACATCCTCGTGGCGCCCAGGATGGTCGCCTCTATCTGCTTGGGCCCCCGTAGACCGTAGGTCTTGACGCACTTCCTTCACCGCATCATGGCGTCCACGGGCTGGGCGAGCACGACCCTGGCGAGGGCGGCGGCAAGGGAACAGCCCGTCAGCAGCGACAGGAGGACGCGGAAAGCATCGGACTTCAGCGATCTTGGCAGAGGCGGCGTCGACCATACAAACGCCGGGGCAACTTCACCCTGCAGCGGGGGGCCTTGCCGCCGAGCTGGCGCCACCTCCCCCCTTCGCGTGGCCATCTCGTAGGCCTTGCTCAAGTCCGGCATGGGCGCGGGCGCCTCCAGCTTCATCGCCCTCGCGCGGTCCGCGTCGAAGCTCTAGGGCCACGCCGCATCCTCGCAGGAGGATCTGCCCGCGCCTCCGAAGAGATACGGGCGGCCCCGGCTCCGCTCCCGGGTCTTCGCCTACGCGCGGCGGATCTTCCCCGGCAGTCGCAGGAGGCTGCAGATCAACCGGATCGCGGCCTCCAGCCGCCCTCGGGCTTGGCCAGGGAGAAATTGATCTGGGCGCCCGAAATGGGTACTGAAAGAATGGGTACTCTGCCCAACAGCGGATCTGGTTCATTTTGAACAAGATCCGCTGTCCGCGCCGCCGCGGCCTGTGTCCATTTGAGACAGCAGGCCGCCAGCCCAACAGCGGCCGCTGTTGGTTTGGGACAACATTTGTTGTTGGGCATGGTGCCCATTCTTTCGGTGGCCATTTCGGGTGTCCAAAGACGCCTCCGCCACCTGCGCGGGGGGGAACTCGACCGTCAGCTTCGCGAGGTGGAGCGGCGACCCAAGGGCGATCAGGCCATCGGTGGGCAGCCGCCCAAACTGGTCGACGCCCGCCGCCGTTTTTGACTCGAAGGACAGCGCAGCCTCCGAGGTCTCCAGCGGCGTCGGCGGCGGCGGAGGAGGCCCGAGCAGGTCCTCGGGGAGGGCCTGGTCCAGGTCGAACGCCTCCTGGCCGCGCTTCCACACATCCTGGCAATCCTCCTTCAGGGCCCGCAGCGCGGCCGAGGCGCCCGCGGGCGAGCCGTCGGCCGTCGCGCGGTCAGCTGGCCAGCCCGCAGGGGCTTTGCAGAAGCCGCGAGCCGCTCCTCCGCCGTCAGCGACGGCCAGCTGCGCCCGCTCACGCCAGCTGCGCGAGCGCTGCACCGCACAGCGCCTCCTCGAACTTCTCCGCCACCGCCCTGGCGTGCTTCTCCCCAGCGCCTGCCACTCCTTGAAAGTGAAGTCCCCAACTGAGCGGAGCTCACGAGCCAGCTCGGCCCGGCGCCGACGCCGACGGGCATCATCCCCAGGAAGAGGTCGCCCACCAGGTCCGTCGCCGCCTGGCGCCCGAGCTCACCCTGCAGCGCCGAGAGCAAGGCCAGCTGCCGCGGCCGCCGATGCCCGAAGCGAAGGCGGCGATGTGCCCCCAGCGCCTGGCCTGCTCGCAGCCCCGCAAGGACGGCCCCTGCGCCTTCGCGGGGGCCAGTCGCGAGACGAAGGGCGGCCCCTGCGCCCGACCAGCGTGCTTCGCCCCCCCGCGTCGCCCCAGTCGAAGAAGCCGCCCAAGTCCTCCTCCAAGAGGCTCGCGAGCTCGGCGTAGAGCTGGTCCAGCGTCGGCAGTTCCGACAACCTCCTGGGCTGCTTGCGCCCCCCCCCCCCGGGGGGAATGCGCGCCCCTGGCCAGGAGGGGCGGGGGGCGCCCGACGCTGAGGACCCAGCCGTCGTAGAAGCCCCAATCGCCGACTCGGCTCGGGCCCGCCATCGCGCTGCTGCTTCCGTCAGCTTGCCGATTGGCGATAGTCAGGAGGCCCCCGCCGGGGCCTCATGGGCCGCTCGGCGGGGGAAGTCTTGGGCGCCTTCCCTGGGCTCTCGGCGCCCGCGATGGGGAGCCGCGCGGGGCAGTGTGGCGGCAGATCCGCTGCGTGCCGCCCCGCGCCTCGCACCTGGCCACCGAGGCCGCTCGAGACCACGAAGAAGTCGATCTCCGAGCCGCCTCCGACGCGGCAGGCGCCCGCCCCCGAAGATGCCGCCGCGCCGTCTGCCCTGCCAGGCCGCCCCCAAGTCTGCGGGGCCTCGGGGCTGCAGTTCAAGTCGCCACCGATGACACGCTCAAGGCGCACCTCCGCGAGGCATTGGCCCACCTGCGCCAATCTGATCTTGCTCTCCGCGTCGAGCCCCGACGCGTTCGCGACCGGGTAGACCGAGGGCGCCAGTGATCCGCCCGGGGCCGCCGCGCTGATCCACCTCGCCAGGGGTCGACCCGCCGGAAGCGGCAAGCCCCTCGGCGGCAGGCTCGCGCCCATGCGCGGGCGGCAGGCGACGCCCACCCCGCGCGAGAGGCCCCCGCGCTCCGCGCGCGCGGCCTCCGTCAGCGACGCCTTCCAGCCTTCTCGGCGGCAGGCCTGGTCAGCCGCCGCGCCGCGCCCGTCTCCTGCAAGAAGACGATGTCCCCCACGGCCTCGGTCTGCAGCCATTCGAGCATGCTCGCCTTGGGCGCGGCGTGGGCCGTCTCCAGCCTCAAGCATTCGCCTGCGCGGCGCTTGCTCTCCAGCAGGCGCGGCGGCTCGGCCGCCGCCGGCTGCTCTGGGGCCTCCGCCCTCCGCCGCCGCGGTCGCGCCTGCGCCCGCGGCCTCGCGCCCGAGGGGCAGCTTGGCGCGCTTGGGCAGCGGGCGGCCTTTGCCTTCGAGGAAGGCCTCGAGCTCCTTCCGCTTCTCGTCGTCGAGGGCCCCGATTGATTCGAAGAACGAGCAGATCCTTGCGCCTCCTCCTGAGTCCGCCCCGCCGCCGCCTGCGGCAGGGGCGCCGCGACCAGGATCGCCTGCAGCAGTCGACGCAGGAGCAGCGACGGGAGCAGCAGCCGCCGCGGCCGCCGCAGCATCGACTCGCGCCTGGGGAGCGGCGGCCAAGCGGCTGAGCAGCTCGACGGCCTGTGAGCTGCACCGCCACCGCGCCGTCGAAGCGCCCCCCTGAGATCGGCGCGCGCCGCGCCCCCGGCGTCGCCTGGGCCAGGGCGTCGGGGCCTGCGGGCGCGAGGCCAGCCTGCTCGGCCTGCCGCGCCCGCTCCAAGGCCTCGGTGGCTTCCTGGTGAGAGGCGCGCACCGTGGCTTCGTGCTCGTTGGCCTCCTTTCGCGGCCGCCTGGGCATCAGCGAGGACCGCCTTCGCCGCTTGCGAAGCCGCCTTGGCCTTCTCCAGCTTCTTCTCCGCGTTCGTGACCTTCCACGTGGCCTCGTGCGCCGCGGACTGGTGAGAAGGCGGTGCCTTGGGCACAGTAGGGCCCGCC